AAAACAGTGTTTTTACTTTTATTGGTGCAAAGATGAGTTGTGGTGATATTTATTTTGTACAACATTTGCAACTGCTTTTCATCACCACAAATGAAATTGTGTCATGTTACAGGGATTACTGATTTTTTATTTTAAAATGCAAAGTATTTAAAATTAAAATTAAAATAAAGCTATGTAAACACTTGCATTTTTACAACACTACAAGTGTGTCCCATCAGGTAATGAAAAGTTCGACACACACTTGTGGTCTTCATCCTCACTTGAACACTTGGGCCAAATACAGGAAATACGTCATATAAGTAGTCAAGTGATCAAGTGCAAAGACCGCACGTGTGGGTATTTGGACAATATTTGGACGCTGAATCATTTATTCAACCGATTCGTTTAAACAGCTGATTCATTCAATAAGTAAACACCGTCCATTGCTCAGAGACGCAAAACAGTGCTGTGATCTTTGTTTGGAACTATTTTCGTTAACAAAAACAAGCAATATTATGTCTAAAACATAAGTCACTCATTGCTTTACTGAACTTGTATAAATGATTATTAAATGTGTTCATGCTGATATCTGCAGAAAAACGGTACTTTGTGTGATCTAGATTAAGATAAATATATTAAATTAAAAATGATATAAAAAGCATACAGAAGCACTTTTATGCCGTCTACAATTTAGAATGCCTGGATTTTTTGAGTTTTAATAGACTAATAAATCAATGTGCGTGCACTCAGTGTGTGATTTGGTTATATAGCCTACTTGATAATGTCAGATCGCACATAATTTCAACAACACTTACCATATTATCGCAGAAGATATACTGTATATCGCACACTCCAGCCTCGACTTGAGTGGAAATGAATTCTCTGCAGTTGTGCGCGCACTTGTTTGCACATGAGCAAAGGTATTTTTAGGAGTCTAACTTGCAAACGCCAGACCACTGATTCGTCAAACCTGCTTTACTGCAGTCCGTGTTCTTCCGTGACTATTTTGTAGTAAGTAACGAATATGCTTCGGGGAAATGTATCAGAGTAACAGTATATATTTTAATTAGGAAATGTAGTGGAGTAAAAGTAAAAGTTGACTGAAATATAAAAACTCAAGTAAAAGATACTCCCAAAATACAGATACTCCCAAAAATACCTAAGTACTGTAACGAAGTATTACTTCGTTACATTACACCACTGCAATAAGGTGGCAAATTTTAATAAAAATTAGGCCTATAATTTACACTCAATACATTATTATTGCATACTGATTTCTAATGCAGGCTACTACAATACTGAGGTGCAAATATCTGCCACTAAGTAGTAGCTTCATAACTGCTATTTACACTTATTGCTAAGAAAATACTGCTATTTTTACATAATGTAAGTATAATCTATTGCTATTTACACTTTGTGTGTACTTATAGTCTAAACAGAATCTAAGTAAGTTCAAATAGACGATGCCCACAAGTGTGAATTACAAACTTTCCAAAAAAGGTTCAATTGAACAAACAGCTTCATTCTGAAGAATATGGCAAAAGGTGACATGAATGCATACCAATAGATACAAAATAATTTCCAATAGTTCCCAGCATGTACTGCTTTATGAAAAAAAAGAGACTTAAATTTAAACAATAATAAGCAATTGAAATTTTTGCCATTACTAAATCTAAATTCATTAGACAATAATTCTGTAACTCATTAGATTATACAAAATATAACAAAATTCTTTACATTCTATGCAAAATTCTTTACATTCTAAGCTTTCCTAGGAAAATTCAGTTTGAGTTGAGTCTCAAATTGTTCGTAATGTTATTTATTTATTTATTTTGTAAAATTCAGTTTAAAACTGTGTTTTTATGGACCAAACGCCGTAAACACATTATTAATAAAGCATGCTATGAACAGACAAGCAGATGAGCCCAGAATGCTAAGGCAACGCGTTTAATTACGTGTTAAGCGTTTTCCTAATAACAGTTTTCTATCAGAGGAAAATCCTTAACGTGGCTTTTAGACAGTGTTTTTAAATGACCAAACGCAGGCCCTGTCCACACGAACGCAGGTATTTTCAAAACCGCAGCTTTTTCTATGCGGTTTGGCCGTTCATCCACACGCAAACACAGCACCAGGTCACTGAAACCCAACATTTTTGAAAACTCCTGCCAGGGTTAAGATTTTCAAAAACTTTGATTGCAGTGTTATCGTGTAGACACTAGACAGCGAAACCGGAGATTTTGGTTTGTGATGTCGGAGCATGCACTGTTATCTCCGCCTACTGGAAACTTTTTCAGGCTTACACAGCGTCTCCACAACATGGTGGCAGCAGCAGCAACAATACTACAGGGAAAATCAAATTTACGCCTTCTTTCTTTGCGTGAACATTTGGGCGGCGTTATGCAAATCTTCCCACATCGTGACGTAGACATGTGGGGGCGTGTTAGAACAAGCCATTTTAGGTAGGCGTGGTTGACTCTTAACTTTTATAAAGAATATTTCTTTGGATTTGAGACTTTAGTCTTTGCAACTTTACAGATCTTCTTTATGCACCAAGAGCTTGTAACACTCCAAAGACAAAGGAAAAAATTGAAATTGCATCATATGACCCCTTTAAAAACGGAAGAAGGAAAAATTCAGTTTATAAAAATAACCGTGTACGTGTGGACATGGCCTCAGTAAACACTAGGGCTGCCCCCTATAGTCGACTAACTGTTAGTTGACCAGAAGAGGCTTGGTCGACCAAAATTGTATTAGTCGCTTAGTCGCAAAAAAACAAAAAAACAATTCCATAGGCACAGTCACGCAGTCCTTGAAAGTCCTTGATGGAAAATTTTGTGTAAATTTTACATTGTACATTTTCAGTAAACATGTATTTACGTTCAAATTAAGAGGGTAGTTTAAAATAAAATATATCTCTAGAATGAATGAAAAACGTTCCTTTTGTCATCCTTCCATATTAGTAAAGCCAGATCACAATGACGACTGTAATTGTGCAGATGCCTATGAAGAGTGGCTGGAATTCAGGAATATGTGTCTGTTGCCAGGACTTGAATTCTTGTAAGTATGCTTAAATGCCTTATAATAAATATTAAAGGACCATTTTTACAGTTCATTAAAAATTATGCAAATAATATCACATTATGTGCATTTTTGGTCCTCAGGCTGCTATGCGTACCGCTGCTTTCCTTGCTTTACCTGCACCACCACTGGAGAGTTTGGGGAGAGCACCTGTCTGCCTCTGCTGGACATATTCGGCCCAGGCATCATGGCAGCTTTCGGGGTTCCAGTATTTGTGCCATCTGTGTCTCTGGGAATGAGGGTGGCAGTTCGCCATAAATACGATATTGGGGTGAGTTTTTCCTTTCCCTCTACCAGTGAAACAGGAAATCAAAGAGGGCTTCAAAACAATAATTTGTTTGTATGTGTTGCAACAGGGCAGTATCTGTGAGGACATCATGGTGTCTTGCTGTTGCATGTGGTGTTCTTGGTGTCAGATGAGTAGAGAAACCAAAGCACGCAAACAAACGGTCACTGTACTGACAACACATCCCATGATTCAACCCATTCCAATGGCAACCACCACACAAGTTATCGCTACACAGCAGGCGTTTGGAGGGATCAATGTGGCACCGGTAGCATTCGCTCCTGCAGTCCAGATGGCACCAATTTCGTCTGTCACAACAGTTGTTAAATAGATGGACTGCTACTTGCATCAATAATGATGGCATGCATAAATATATAGACACAATATATAGAGACTATAGTAACTGATGCATAGTGTAATATCTAACCTGCTTAAATTATATTTTGTGAATGGCTTGGATGCATTTGGAAAGTGCCTGTATCTTTATATTGTTTAGTCTCTGATGATTTTTGATTAAATATTTTAAAGTGATCTTGTCTATGAATAACTAGTAGCAGAAGTGAGCACAACTCATTTCTGAAGAAAACTGAGATACTGTTTACAGGAATAAATATATATGTTGTGCTTCAAAAATGGAAATAGAATCAGATTTCTTGAAAACTAAAACATTTAACGTAAGTGAAGTTGTAGCATGGCTGACTTTAAAATTTAAATGCATTTGTGTTTGCAATTCAACATTTGTTAACACAGCACAGTTCATTCTGAATATCATGCTGGACAGAAAAAATTAGGGCTGAGAAATGTTTCACAAGAAAACAAAAGAGGAATTATGGTAAATAGGGAAGCTAATCTCTCGTCCTTCAGAGACTGTGTGAAGGCTTTTTCTTTTACGTAGCAACATTTTTTGTGGGACTGAAACTGGAAGACTCAACTCAGGTATGTGACCTAACAAACTATTTATACATTGATATTGAACTTGCATAGTTTTAATTTATACACCATATATTTATACATGCACTTAAAAGAAATATGCATAAGAGAACTCAGTCTTTATATTTTAGTCCATTTTAAATGCTGTGTATTTTCTTAGAAAGGCATTTAAAGTGATTTTCATGCTGATTATTTTTGTTATTTTGAGAGAGGAAAAAAAGAGAGAAATGTGTGGATACATTTCCCTCATTTTCCTTTGGATATCCCTCCTTCTGTCTTTACCCTGTGGTTATAATGGCGATACGATCCTGGTTTTCCCCGTTGATGGCAGTCACTGGGTGAACATGGAGGTACTGATTTAAATACACAGGGACAGTAGTTTAAAAAAATATTGCACTATTTCAGCAAAGTTCACTATTTCTGGTGTGGAAGCCTGTTTTCACCTCAAAGTAAAAACAAAAAGGTAATTTAAAGGAATAGTTCACCCAAAAATGGAAGTTTGTTGAAACATTATTCACACTCAGGTCAAGATTTTTCCATTTTGAACTGTTCCTTTAAGATAAATAAAGTTGCATTTGTGAGATATAAAGTTGCAATACTAAAAAATAAAGTCACAATCAACTGAAAAATTTGTCACAACTGTGAGATGTAATGTCCCAATTGAAAAATGTGAGGTGAAAACTGGCTTCCATGTACCGGAGCTCCTCTGGAGATACATACATAAAAAAGCAATCCAAAACACAGAAAAGCAATCCAGCTTGCTTAGTATGATTAAAACCTAAGTGCACTGTATTACTGCCCCCTAGGTGCTGGTGAAGAAGCTGCACTCTCATGGACACGAGCTGAGTGTGATTCGCCTGACGGACAGCTGGTTCATCCAGGAGAATTCACCTTACTACACCTCCATTACGGTGAAGCTTAAAAAGAAATACATAGGCCTGGACCTGTTTGAGAGCGCAGTACAACGGATTCTTGAGGCCCACAGGAAGGGCCCAGTGATGGGTGTGCTGGCCCAGATGTCAGAATTGATTGGCATCATAAAGGTGGCTCACACTGCAAACTGTGCCATGCTCACCACCATGCTAGAGAACAAAGATCTGATGACACAAATAAAGATGGAGAACTATGACTTGATGCTCACTGACCCTGCCATGCCAGGTGGAGTCATCCTGGCACATCACCTCCAACTTCCAATGGTCTATAACGTCCGTTGGATGAGTTTCGGAGAAGGCCACTTCTCCATCGCACCTTCTCCCATATCCTACGTGCCTGTTCCCGGCTCAGGTCTGACGGACCAAATGGGTTTGTTAGAAAGAACCCGTAATCTTCTACATTATGGGTTGAACCTCATTCAAGAGCGCTGGCTGGTGATTCCCATGTATTCTAGCTTGTTGCTCAAATACTTCCCTCCCGGCGCCGACCTCCTAGTCATGCAACAATCAGCGGAGCTGTGGCTTGTTCGTGTAGACTTTGTGTTTGAGTTCCCACGACCCTCCATGCCAAACCTCGTCTACATTGGCGGCTTCCAGTGTTGTCCGGCCAAGCCTCTCCCTGCAGAGCTGGAGGAGTTCATGCAGAGCTCAGGAGAACATGGGGTGGTCGTGATGTCTCTGGGAACTCTGATTGCAGGATTGCCCCGAGAAGTCATGGAGGCCATTGCCACAGCTTTCGCCCGCATGCCGCAGAAGGTGATCTGGAGGTTTATTGGCGAGAGACCTTCATCATTGGGCAATAACACCCTACTGCTTCAATGGTTACCTCAGAATGACTTGCTGGGCCATCCGAAGACCTGTGCTTTCGTGGCTCATGGGGGCACCAATGGTCTATACGAAGCCATCTATCATGGGGTGCCAGTGTTGGGACTCCCTTTGCTATTTGACCAGCTAGATAACATTGTACGTCTTCAGGCAAGAGGGGCGGCACGGATGCTGGATGCAGCTACTTGCACCACAGAAGAGTTCCTTGAAGCTTTGAGAGATATCTTAGAGAACCCAACGTATCGTCATAACATGCAGAAGCTCTCCAGTTTACATCGAGACCGGCCTTTGCATCCTCTCGACAAAGCAGTGTACTGGATCGAGTTTGTCCTGCGCAATAAAGGGGCACCCCATCTGCGTGCTGAGGCTTACAACATGTCCACGTACTCCTACTACTGTCTAGATGTGGCTGCATTGGTTCTCCTTATACTTCTGCTGACTCTGGGAGGTGTCTACACAATATGGATACGAAGACGGAAAAGAGGGACAAACACTAAAGCTAAAAGTATTAAAATTGTTTTTGGTAATTGAAATAAAGCTGAAATAAAATATAAATATTAGGCTAGATGAAAAGCATAGATATGTTGCCTTAGCAACTAACTGAAATAAAATACTAAAATTCCTAAAACAAAAAATGTATTAAAGCTATATAGAAATATTAAAAAAGACAAAAGCGCATAACAAAATGACTAAAGCTTAAATTAAAAACTGAAAATATCAAATAAAAGCTAATTCTAAATATTAATAAATGCTAAAGTATATAAATAATATAAAAACAACACTGCCTTCCAATTCTTTCTTTATCAGGTGTTTTTCAGTTGGCTTTTTTATTTCGATAGGACAGTTGAGAGGTGACAGGAAAGTAGTGAGAGAGAGAGAGAAGAACAGAAATGGGACATGACACAGGTTAGACTCGAACCCAGGTCCTCATGAGCACAATGGCTCTTCGTTTATGTCACAGCTCTGACATGGTAATATTTCCTCTATTTCTTTCTTTCTTTCTTTGCCTTTAATTCTCTCCCCCCATTTCTTGCGCTCTTGCAGTTCCCTGCCAACTAAACTGTGTTGGCGATTAGGTACTGATCCCTTCCTGGAATCCTTGAAGTAATCCCCCTTCTTGCACACAATGCATTTAAGGGCATTTGCAAAAAGAAAAAAATAAATAAATAAATAAAGAAGTGAATCACCAGTGACAAACAGCTGCTGGTCAATATTCTGGAATGATGCAACTCTTTGCAAGATGTGAATGGTTTAAACCAAGTTGTATAATCTATAGTCAGCCTGTTCAGGATGTGACATGCAGTTCCAAAGTGCTGTGTTGAAAGCTTACAGAACATCTAATCATTTGTAGCTCCAGCAATGAAACAATTTGATCGTAACTATCCACATATGCGTTGTGTAAAACATGGTTTCATTTTAACACGCATTTATATTTTGCGCCAGATCACCAGCAGATGGCGCAATGGATATATTCAAAGTATTGCTTGGAATAATTCTTGTGCAATCCAAACTCAGATTATAGCCTATATTCTGTCACATCAGCCTGGTGCTTTTTATAAACCATACATCAAAATGCCATGGTTTCATTAAAGCAAAAATGATCTAAACGTTAGATGATCACAAACCTGCCCAAAATGCTGCGTGGCACAGCACGTTCTCTTTACCAGCCAGAGGAGGACATCCTTTTCTCCAGATTTGAGACAGGAGATGACTGGAAGCACATGCAGGGACAAAATGATAAAAAGAAGACAGGCAAGGATGAGAGAGGTCTAACTGATTGAGGGGACATTAGCCAGGGCTGTATTCACTAATGTATGCTTCTAATGACTCGTTATCTCATTATCAATCTTATTCTCGCTCATCTTTTCTTTTCCTCACTCTCTCCCCTTCCTCTCTATCTCTCTATCTCCTCCCAATCGACCAGCAATGATGGGAATAACAATTAGGACGCTAGGCTGCCAAATGGCTATTTTAATTAGCCTTTCTTAGCAAAAGAGAGAGAGAGAGGTGGGAAGAGAGATCGAGTGAAAGAGAGAGAGAGAGAGAAAGAGACTAATGTTCTTCATAAATGCTACAGATTAGAAGGTCATTAGGCTTTTGCTTGAATTAATGATTAGGAATTCCTGCAGGTCATAGAAACTTATTACACAAGCCTACTTAACATTAATAGAACCATCCTATTTGTGTTAAACACAAAGAAATTAAAACTAAAAACCAATTACAAAGAGATGACATTGTCTTTCGCCCTCCCCCTGGTCACCCATAACGGAGAAGCGGTGTAAAACTCTCTGGACAGTAGCCAGAGACTTTAGTCGCACGAGAACAAAATGATCGCGGTTCGCTCATATCATTTCAGTTTTTCCCGGTTTTACTCCATGGTCATGGTTTTCACCCTCAGCTTTCAATATCTTCTGCTTTTCCACTATGTGTCCCGTCATCCTCAGTAAACCACGGTGTTACTCCGCCGCTTCCCGCTCATTTTGATACGTTATTTTCTTCAAACGCACAATGCAACATTCTTGTGTGTTATTTGTTCATTTGTGGCTTGTTTGGGACAGGGGATGGTCTGGCGAAAATCTCTTCAGAGGCACTTTCCATCCCAAAAGAGATAGACTACTCATTTCAACCCTCTCTTATACTTATCCCCCTGACGCATAAAACTGGCAA